TTGGGAATTTCATTCATTTTTGGTGAATTAAAATTACTCATGTGCAGTGAGAATGGGGCCAAGGCTTTCTGAGACAGTGAAGGGGAAACTGAGTGTTGGTGCCAAAATAATAAGAAAGGGAGGACGAGAGAATATATTCAGGGACATATTTGGCTTGTGCCATGGAGAAAAATTGCTAAAGGCTTCTCAGTGTTATTTATCGACAACAACCGGGCCGATTGCCGGGATTTTGTTCGTCTCCACTCAAAAAGTTTGCTTTTGCAGTGAAAGATCCATTAATGTTCAATCTCCTTCTGGGGGCCTCCTTATAATCCCTTACAAGGTTGATCAGCTTTTGATACACTTGGTTATTTAGTTGGTTCGTTTATCGTAATCGCTACATTGATGATAAGCCGTATGCAACTAGTTTGATTTTATGTCTTGTTAAGTTGGTTTTTTTTTTCTTTTTTTTTTTTTTNNTTTTTGGGTTTCAATTATCTTGCAGCTTTCGATTCCGGTGAAGAAGATAAAAGGAGCTTACGAGAGGGAGAATGCGGACAACCCGGCACAGAAGTACATTGAGATAGTGAGCCAAGACGATTTCGAGTTTTGGTTCATGGGGTTTGTGAGGTATGAGAAAGCCTTTATGAATTTGCAGAGATCCATTTCTATGACAGGGTAGATCATGAGATGTAAATGAAAAAATGTAGTAATAAATTTGTGTAGAAAAAAAAAAGATGTGTTTTTATCAGGAGTGACAGTTTGAGCATTGTAAATTATTGATGTATTTGGGTGTGTTAGCAGGTTCGGTAGTTATGGTGCCATACATATTTGCAAGCTGGTGTAAACCGTGTAATGCTACTGCTACATTTTATGTACAAGAAAAATGGTGTTTGAACACGTACTTGCTGCTTCATTGAAATATTAAATGGAATTTCAGGAATTTCAAATCGATACCAATATGGCATTTCAATATATATTTAGATTCATTTGAAAATTCCATCTGCGATGCACATATCTAGCAATTCAAATGCATTGTATTTCATCCTTCAATAGTCTGACAAATTTCAGAATAAACCTCCAAGAGTAATATATATCAAACAGATCAGGAAATAACATCAGTCAGAGCAATTAACCTTCAGCTTAGAGAAATTTCATATATATATATATATATATATATATATATGGATCATTTAGTGTGGGTAGATGAGACCTTGATTATAAGTTATAAAACCAACCATATGGGGAAACGTATGTAATATACCTAAAATAACTCAGAGATTCATATATAGCTCAAGTGTAATACTACAAAGCATTTGTATTGCTACTATTATTATTAATCTATAATCTATAATTTATCTATATATGTAATCTATAAACTATAATCTATAATCTATATCTATATCTATCTATAATCTATAATCTATCTATCTATCACTCCCTTAAAAAAGCTGAATGGTTTCTTGAAATTTTAAATTGCCCATATTACCCTCAAAATTTTACTTTAAAGAACATACATGTAACTTGCAATTTTAAATTAGAGTTGATAATGATGATTTGTAACTTATCCCAATTTTAAATAAATGATGATTTTAAAATACTTGAATTGGCAATAATACCCTCGAGAAAAAGAATGCAACTTTTGTTTGAAGAATAAATGTAATATTATATTTTATTATTGAACAACAACAACAACAACAACAAAGTCTTTTAGTCCCAAACAAGTTGGGGTAGACTAGAGATGAAACTCAAGAGAAACAGTGGTAAGAGAAACTCAAAAAGGGCTCAAAACAAAACAAAACAAAACAAAAGGAAGAGATTGGAGCAAAGAGAAATGAGCAAAAGTCACAGTTCTGACACGTTGATCGCTAGCCTCCAAACGCTCCTATCCACCGTTAAATCTTTGGAGATCTTCCAATTTTTAAGGTCTCTCTGAACCGACTCTTCCCAAGTGAGTTTAGGCCGACCTATACCTCTCTTAACATCATCGACCCGCTGTAGAACTCCCCTACGCACCGGTGCATCAGGAGGCCTCCGTTGGACATGTCCGAACCACCTCAGCCGATGTTGAACCAATTTCTCCTCAATTGGAGCCACTCCGACCTTATCTCGGATATCCTAATTCCGGATTTTATCTCTTCTTGTGTGCCCGCAAAACCAACGCAGCATATGCATCTCTGCTACACTTAGTTGTTGGACATGCTGTCTTTTTGTAGGTCAACATTCAGTACCATATAGCATCGCCGGGCGAATCGTCGTCCTATAGAACTTACTTTTTAGCCTTTATGGCACCCTCTTATCACAGAGAACGCCG